CTTTCGCCGAGGAGCTTTGCTGTTGGTTTTGCCACTATTGTTTGAGGTAAACAGGACTTGTGTACATGATGAGTGAAATTTGGCCCTATGTAGAGAGGCAGCACAAAGCTTAGATGTTAGGATGAAATTCAGCCCTGAGCAGTGAACCAGCATAAGGTCTATGCCTTGTTTGGCTCTCTTCATAAGGCCAAATTTCACCCTCTGTCAATAATTTCTCTCCCAGCAATGAACCAACCTTCTCCAAAGTCCCAAACACCACCTATCCCTCAGTGGAGGGGACAACAGTGTGGTAGGGTGTATACCATACTGACTTCTTGGCATTCCCCCCCTCCTCCTCTCCCCCAAGATCTTTGGCCTGACTCTGCTTTAATATATTAAAATAGATGTTGTCACCCTACACTTAGCTTTTGTGGAAAAGAGGAAAATGCTCACTCTCTCAGGGGGATTCTCAGTTCCAATCTTTTGTGCATGATTCCCTTCCTCCCCCTGCCAATACAAGGTATCAAGCACTGAGAGATGATACTTAATGATACCAGGTTAATTCCATTTAGGTTGGAAGCAGTGCATTTCCTGCTATAAATGGAGGGCTGTTTCCAGCTATAAAAGTTTTGAGAGTTCTATCCTGTAATTGTTTTGTTCCTTGTACATAGTGTTTAGAGATGGGTCTCAAACCAGAACCGTGCACTCGTGGGGAAGCTCAGATTCAGGTCTGGATTCTGCGTCTGGCCCCTATGTTAACAACGTGAAATACTAGAATGCCAAACCACCTTTGGAATGTTCAAATCGCAGATCTGGATCCTAATCCTGTGACTCGGGCCCACTATTCGATTTCTGAAGGGAGAAAGATAGGTGAAGGGGGGAAAAAAAAGACATCTGAGATAGGGCTCCTCTCTCAAGTGTAAACAGAGTTAAATTTGTATCACGAAGCAGTGGGCTTAGTTTTCTAAAGGAGGCATGGTTCCCAGAAGGAATTACATAAATATTTATGAAAATGAAGCAGGAAATATTTTCCCAGGGTAGGACACTTATTCAGTGCTACATCAGGTCAGCAAAAGCTAGAGGCTATTTGGTAAGTCATTCACTGGAACTGAATCACTGCCTGCTTGTTTGCTGGGTTCTGTTCTGACACAGGAACAGGCTGCACTCTGACTAACACAAATTATGAAACAATTGCAGCTTTTCCCTTTATATTTTATATATATTCATATCTAGCGGAACTTGGAATTCCCTTTTTTTTTAAACAACCCCAATGTTTGGCAGTATCTATATGTGTTTCCATGGAAAACCATAATGGTGGCATTAGTTAATTTCAGGCCTTTCATGGAGTCTCATGAGAGTATTATTGTAGCCAACAGTCATTTTCAGTAACAGGAAGTGCTCTGTGGCCAATTGCTCAAACTGACAATAGGGATGAAATTAACCTAGAGACGTCCCTGTTAATGTGGTATGATTCCTGGGAAATGTGAATAAGCGCGAAAAGGGCCTGGTGCTGCATATTTTATATACCCCACTGAAGTGGGCTTTAAGTAAGAACATACCATATGTTATCTTCAGGCCACATGTTTGAAGAGCTAATCAATGTTGGCTTTGATCTTGCAAATCCTTGCACGCTGCATAACTAGGGACACAAGGCTGTGGTGTCCCAGTGCAAGTGTGAGCAGAGGCTACATGTAGCTTGGATATGCTTGAACAATGCACCATAAGTGGACCCCCCCCAAACAACCTGCGAGGCCCGAATGGATGTTAGGACATTGTCACCAAGACTGCTGGGTCATGTGTAGCCTCTTGAATATCATGTTGGAAGTTATGTAAGACTATTGCAGACTATCTTAAAATCTCTATTTAATTGACTGTACAAGCAACAAGGCTTTGGAGGAATTCTTGTCATTAGCTGTAAAGTGCAGTTCTTTTTGGAAGCTGTTTGCCGACACTCATAAAGCATTGGTCACTGCCTGGGTCTCTGACTGGAATAATGTAGTGTAGAGCTGCTGTTTACAGACTACAGCCACATGAAGCAAATGTTACAAAATATGACATGGTGTCAGAACACACAGGGTCAGATTTTGAATGAGAAATCAATGAGAATTAGGCACCTAAATCCCAATCTGGGCCTAAAAGCTTTAAAATACCTTCCCCCTACCCCGTCCCTCGTGTGCCATATCATAGTATTCTATTTCTCTCTATTCTTTCCTTCTCTAATCAGTTCCAAGCTTTGACAGTATTGGAATTAACTCAGTATCCGACATGGCAGGCGGGACAGTCCTGACCTCAGATACTGTGGTAGTAGGGGCCATATAAGTATCATCGGCAGACATTTTGCCTTTGAACACCTCCAGATCCCAGTAGTTGATCAGTACAGGTATAGGGAAGCTCCCTGAACTATTGAAGTCTTGGGCTAGAGCTGCTGCAGGTGGACCCTGAGTACTCCAATCTGAGTTTTACCTATGGTATAGGCAGGATGTGTAAACAGTTGAGTCCAGTTATAGTATGTGGGACTGTGCTAATCAGTCAAGTTGGCACTAGCATCTGGCCACCTATTGGTAAACTTTACAACTACCTGAGCAGGTTGTTGTTTGTACTGTAAGCCGCATATTGACTTTTGATGGTTAACATCGGAGGGATATTAAGGTAAAGGTAACACTCAGCTCCTGAGGGAAAGGCTTAGATTCTAAAAAGGTAACATGTGACATAATGGTGACTTGTGTACAGCTGATGGCAAATCTACAGAACACTTCATGATTTTCTTTTGACTATTCTCAGCGGTTTCTGGTAAAACATTCTTGCTGCAGGAAACACAAACGCTGGTTTGTTCATTTTTTTCTTGCCTACAGACATCTCTCTTTGCCTGATCCAATGAGAATTAAAATGCACAATGGCTGATGTACCTCATTACATCTCAGTCACCACTGAATTCTCCGAGCAAATGTTTGCCTGCCTCACTTCCCCTATCACTGTTTACTGCTGAGGAATATCAAACAATTGCTGGAAGATTTCTCAGTACTGCTGAGCAGATTCTGCCATTCACATTGGTTTGCCAGCATGCCATCCTCAGAACCAACTACACTACTTTCCTGCTCCTACATCTTGCGCTTAAATGGACTTCATGCTCACAAAATGGAAGTGAAGTGTCAGAAAAAGGGAAAGGATAAATAACATGAATTTACAACTTACAAAGTGATAGGCAAATTCACAATGCAAATCACAGTCAAGTTTATTCCTGTGGGAACTCCATCGACCCACAATCCCAAATTCTTATTCTTCCTGCATGCCCCTCTAGCTATTTGTTTTCCTGCCTTCCATCTTATTTAGATTGCATGCTCTTTGGGACAAGGATCTGTCTTCTTATATTTCTGAAAAGCACAGTGCACACCACAATAATAAAGAGAGAGAGTATTTTGAAACAGCATGGCAACCCATGACAAGCCTGGCTATCAGAGGTGAAATCTTCACTCTGCTGAATCAGGGGGAATTTTCCAATGTGGCCAAGATTTCCACCCCCACCTCCTTCCCCTCCCACACACGTGCTTGAGATCAAAGGCCTCCAGCCATCAAAAAAGAGTAGGTACCTTGTGTAACTGCACACTTCTGTATGGGTATACTTGCTGCTATGTTATCTGTCTGTCAAAGCCTGTAGGGCTATAAAATTAATTTCTCTTTAAATAATGAGGAAAGCATCTGAAAAGCTATTTCTCCTCTTTAATATGTTTTCGCTTAGGATGGGCACAAACAAACATGTGTGTAACCAGCAATAAATTACTCAGCTCCAACAAATTAGCCCCCCTTCAAGAGCAGCTCTCCCCTTATTGAGCTAAATTCATCCAGAATGTAATGGGACAAAAGTTAGTAGAGTCCCACCAGAGATTAATATGAGCATCCATCTGCCTTTGCTCCCTACCTGCCATGATTCATTGACATTGTTACTATGTTTTTTATCTAATTAAGAGCTAAAGCCTGCCCTTTTCAAGTAGGGTTGCTCTGCGAAAAAGTGCAGTGGGACCACACAATAAACAGAGGCCCCAGGAAGAATTCTTGTGACTACCAGAATTCCTCCAGGGAATCACACACTAGTTCCTCTACTCAGGGGGTTTTACGCCCCTTTGGCTGTGTGTTTGAGCTTCAAACCCACAAACTCAGAGCAAAACTTGGAGAACCATGTCACATAAATCAAAACCAGCACTAACTGAAAACCTCTTTTGCAGTGCAATTGAGAAAACAAAGACTGAATGGGCCTGGAGCTGAACTACTCCATTGCCTATAGAGGTCATCTCTCCTGTCTGGCAATGGGATGCGTGGGCTAAAGGCGGGGTGGAGAATTTTGCACTGCTATTGCTTAAACTTTAAGCCTCTTCTGTGGCTTCAGTCCTCAAGGTTGTCCTTCTGGATCTTGTCTGTCAACAAAGCCAGGGAGGCCACAGAGCAACCACTACAACAGTCTCCAGGCGCTAATAGCAGCCATGGCCTGTGGATTCTGGCTGGCAGATCAGCTTGGTTCAGAGACCCCCTGCTCATACCCATCTCTCACCCTTCCACCATGCTGCATGGAGCCACCAGAGAATCTACAGCATGGCATGCAGGAGGTGTGAAGTCCCATTCTATGACTTCTCCTTGAAGCAGAGCTGCAACCATTCCATTGCTTTTGGGGGATTTGGCGGGCTCTTGCTGGCATATGTCCCTTACCTGTTATAATGAGCGTAAATTAATTTCCTTACATAACACAGAACAAGCATCTTATAATTAATTGACATTCATTTGGATAGAAAATCAAAGTCTTTCTCTTCTGAATGATGGAGTGTTGGATTTCCCCATTATAAGTGTAAAAAGAAAAGGCTAACAAAAACAGAGAGAGCCTCATATATCCAAGACATTTCCTCTGGCCAACGCAGCTAAATATTTCACAACTAAAAGATAAATTAGAATAAACAGCTGTCACTGTTAAATAAATATTCTGGACAATGTATCATCTGTGCAGGATACAAAAAACTAACACATCAGTGACCTCCTTTTCCCCACTTTATTTCGCTTTTTTTTTCAAGTGTAAGCTTCCAAGTCTTTGCTCTGCCTCATTTAGTGAAACATTTATTTTAGAATCAACTTGTATTTTTCAAGACTGAAACAACGCAAGGCATTTCCTGAGGAACTGCAAGGATGAGCAGCATGAAAGGACAACAGTGGAGGACATGTGGAACTTTAGTAGTGCTCTTTATTTTTCAAGTTCAGATTTTTGGTTTCGATGTTGACAATCAACCTGCAACAGATGTTTGCTCGACACACACCATTTTACCTGGACCAAAAGGTGAGCTAGTTAATACCAAAGCTGATCAGAGTTGAAATTCTGAGCAAGGAAGGGATTTGTGGTGTGGGATGTGCATCACCAGTGGGCTGGAGATGAAGGATCTGAAGCATTGCAGCTCTAGCCAAATGAAATGTGTAGGGGAAGATGGAGGGGAAGGGAAAAGAAGGGCTGCAGTGAGGAGACTTGAGAATTGTGGAATTTTAAAAAAATGTTACTGGAACCAACTCCTGCACTTTCATATAAAGTGTTTTCAAACTGGGGTATTCATACCCCTCGTCTGGGGGCTCTCGTCTGGGGTACGTTGGAAACATTCTGTAATGGAGGACAACACCTTTTATTTAGTAAGTCTTGGCAATCTAATCAACATTTAATCTCCTTTCAATTAAAATTGCAGCCGCTGTGCAACTCAGAATCAGAGGTATTTTAAACTCTGAGGCATGCCCCCCTACGGGGCATTGAGGAATGTTTGGGGGGGCTCGGGCCAGCCCTGCAAGGCAGGGCTCAGAGAGGGAGCACCACCATCACGCCCTGACTCACCTCTGCAGGCCACCCAGCCTGTCTGGGTTGGAGGGGGCGGGGCAGGGCCGTCCTTAGGCATATGCAGGATACGCGGCTGTGTAGAGTACCCGAAAATTTGGGGCACCATTCCCCTGGAATCCTCTCTTCTCCAGACCCTCCCCCGTGCTGGGCCGGCGGGCTTCTCCCCGCCCCCAACCCCGCCTGTTCCCTCACTTGCTCCTCAGCCAGCCGGCTGAGGGCTCCAGGCTCCATTTCTGCTGCCCCAGCCCCGGGGAATCCAGAGCAGTGTGGCGAGTCACTGGCAGTCCCTCCCTGGACCCTGCTTGCCTGCGCCGCTCGGTCTCCAGCAGGGGCCGGGGCCGGGCCCGGGCCCAGGCCAGGACAGGAGGAGCGAAACTTCCACGTGAGTCAGTGGGGTGGGGGGCCTAAACTGACAGTGCGCTCACTGTCTCTCACACTTCCCTAACACACACACTCTCACACCCACATACACTCTGCCTCTCACGAGTCACAGTCTCCCAATACAGATTGTCACGCGCACACACAGTCTCACACTCCCCAACACACACTCTGTGACACAGTCCCCCAACACACAGTCACACACACACAGGCTCCCTCTGTCTCTCTCAGATGCACTGGCTCTCTCTCATACACACATACACACACTCTGTCGCATGCACACACTCACACACACACACACTTGTATTATTGTTGTTAATACTGCTTGGTACTTCCTGTCAAAATGCTCGTGGTGAGCCAGGAGTGGCTAGGGGCTGCAGGAGGGCCGTGGGCTCTGGCAAGATGCAGCTCCCCCATGTGACAGCGCGAAGCCTGCCTTGAGCTGCTGCGTACAAAGCTCAGTGTGTGTCAGCAATGGGGGGGAGGTTCTGGGGGTCTGCGGGCGGGAGTGGTGGCTGTGCCCCCTCGACACACTGGGGTCAGCAGCACTGGCTGGGGACCGCCTTCAGTGGAGCATAGGGGCACCAGTTTAATAATGCTGCATAGGGCCCCATAAATCCTAAGGATGGCTCGGGGGGGAGGTGGCGCACAACCAAAAATTGTATCACACATGGGGGGGCTCAGCTCAAAAAGTTCAAACTCAAGTCAGCGCTCGCCCCCCTGAATGTTCCTCCATGCCCCCTAGGGGTCACGCCCCACAGTTTGAAAACCTCTAGAAGCTGTTGCTAAATGGAAGGCAGAAATCTGCGGGGGGCACGTGACCCTATGTGCCAATCCCACACATCACCTCTACCTATCTTAGAAGGGGATACATGGTAAGCTACATTATTTGAACACCACTAATATAAACTTAATAGCTTGTCCAAATTGTTTCAGCTAAATTAGATCGCTCCTGTTCAACGTATGTGTTCCCAGGCAGTTGATATACAAAACAATAACACCGTGACTTCCCTTAAAAGCAAGCATTAGCCAAGTGACAGCTGATGGTTGCACTGGTTGTTTCTACACTTAAGGGAAGAATACCATCATGTTCTCATTGTTTATAAATGCCTACTTATAGATAATGATCACGGCAGCACATACCAGACTTGAGCTAGGAGCTCCTGTTGAAGTCAATAGGGGCTTCACCATTGACTTCCGCGGGATCTCGATCAGCTCTTTAGCATATCATTCTTTCACCTCCAAGACATTTTACAAATATCTGAGGCCAAATTCCATGCATCATCAGCTTACACAACTGAACCCACGTAACCTAACTGAAGTCAGTGGAATTGCCTGGGGTGTAAATCAGCCAAGAACTTAGCCCATAACAAAGAGCTATATCTTGCAGTGGCAGTTCTAAAACATTTATTCTAGGCAATGGCTACTGAAGCTCAGACTGCTTCCTTATTAGTAATTTGTTATATCTCTCTGTAGGCTACAGAACTGGGGAACAACCGCAAGTGATTTATAGTTTAAACAGAAAAGAGACTTTATCAACATAAAACCATTGCTGCAGACTCATTTGTTTTTATGATGGATTATTCAAATGAATGCTGCTTAAAGTACCATTTTTAATCACCACATTCATTTCTTTAAGATTGAAATCTAATGTTTAACCTTTGCTGAGGCAGTGTAAACTCAGGAAGACATAATGAAACCAGAGGGAGTGGTACAAGTTTGTTTAGTTTCTATCTGAATAATGGAAGCGTACATGCTTGGAAGAGAGAGTTTGGCTGACAATAAACTTCGCAATTAAAATATGCCTGAGTGGGCTATGTCTACACTAGAGACCTTACAGCAGCACAGCTGTACTGATGCAGCTGTGCCACTGTGCGATTGCTCATGTAGCTGGTCTACAACATAATTACCACCTCCAACAAGAGGCAGTATCGGTGTTGGCAGGACAAGCTCTCCTGCCAACCTAGTGCTGTGCACACTACCACTTATGCCAATATGTTGCTCAGGGACATGGTTTCTTTTAAGTTTTGCCAACATAAGTGATAGTGTAGACATGGCTTAGTGACACCACATCATGAATAGAGCTAGGATATAAGTCCAGGTCTCAGACTTGTTCCTTTGGTCTCATCCAGCAGGGACTAGGAGCACTTAGTGTAACCCAAGCCTGGTAATGAGCGAATCCAGCAATTGTGATGTTCGGTCTCTGTTGCTTCTTGGCCTGAATAATGGGTTGGCATGATGACACCAGGGGAAGGGAAGAATAAAAGGAGCATATTGAGGGGATGCTTAATGCTCCTCAGAACTAGAATATTACTATTTTCAAAGGGCTGAATGGTTCAAGACTAGTAATTGGACATGAAGCTCCTCACCTTTAAGTCACTGCTTCAAATCTCCTGTCAAACAGGTGACAAGTGACCATCTGACAGCATTCTACACTATGGGAGATGAATCTGTGGCCTCACTCCAGTTCCTAGTGGACAAGAGCCCATGTTAGAAAAGTCACAGCTGGCTTTTACTGGCATGACAGCCTCATCTGCAGTCCAAATGAGAATCTAAAGACTGAATGGAACAATATATGATCTACCCCCTTTCCTGTAGAGAAGTCTCTCAAGGTCAGTGATGAGGCACATTGGCCAAAGAGGGCATGAGAAGGTTTGCAGTACTGCTGCCCACACCGTACCTGTCCTGTGACTAGAGGACTCCAGACACCAGGTGTTCTAGCTGTTAACAGCACTAAATCCACCAACAAAACTTTCCTACTGTATTTCTAACTGTAGTATCTCAAATGAAGGCTTCTATTGCTTTTAGCACCATCATTATTTTTCTTTTTAAAATGCTGTATCTGTGGTGCAGCCTGTTTTCCAGTCTTCAGAAAATAGGCAACTCTCCAGCTTCTTAGTCAGTTTGCCCACATTTCATCCCTCTACCATCTCTTTCCTCTGCTAGTGGCAGGCATCATAGCATAGTTTATTCTGCTGAGAGATCACACAATATGCTGGGCAATCACTTTGTAGCTGTGCCACTCACAGGCTTTGTGCTTCTCCTGTGACATAATCTACCTTCACCGTAAGAGGCCTGTAGGTTCACTGACTGCCTCAGACCCTATGGCTCCACATTAAATTGAAGTTGTACTGTGCACTTGCAATACTTTAAAGTCCACATTTCCTACAGGAAATAGCAGCAAGAACTTACATTTTTTCATGTGCTCTCTGTGGAAACCATCTTTGTTCAAAAAGGGCCAATTTTCACCCAAAAATTATTTGCTCAAAACGTTGGTAACTTTTTTTACACTCAGAACAAGAGATGTCAAATTAATTACTTAGGTAGCACAAGGGGATATGAGTAATGTGATGAAAATAAGTGAGGGGAAAGTTAGGCTGAATATCAGAAAAAAGCCTTCACGACACAGAGCTATTAGGCTCACAGGGAAGTGACGCAAAATGGAGCCTTGAAAAGTTGACTGAACAAAGCGCTAGACAATGTACTGAAGGAATGATTCTGCCCTGGGCAGTAGGGACAGACTAGGGAGCCTAATAAGTCTTTACCATCTTTAATTTCTATGATAAAGCCCTAGAAGTTAGTATCTATTAGAAATGTTTGTTATTAATAACTTAATAGACATTAAAGTCTGACCTCTAGTGCTCATGAATGATATCTACAATGCATGTTTTAGTGACTGACTAATTTAGTATTCCTATTTGTTTTTTCCATCTTTCTGTTCACACACCCTTTTTTCTACTGTTGGTGCAGACAGATCAGTTATAATTTTTAAAAGCACTATATGAGCAGATGACCAATCTTTGCATGCATGCTAACACACACACACACATACACACACACACACACACACACGAAGAAGCAGGCAAACTTCAACTGGTTTCCAGTTTCCTCTCCAATCTAAAACTCAGCTCAGGTTTGCAAAGAAGGCTACTAATTCTTTTGTTGAACTTGGGCCTAATGTTACTGCAGTCTGCTCCCACCTTTCTGAGAAGGTTTCATCCCTTATAAATTCTAATAGGGTTCTATAAAATTTCTTCAGAATAAGCTTATAGAATGTCATCAAGATTGATGGCCTCTCTAGA